AAGAACAGCAAATACACGAGCCTGTGAGTCTCCGTTTGAAGATGGAATTGCTGATATTTGCTCAAGCTTTTGGGCCGTCCGCGCGATTCACATTCGTTGATTATCTTTCTAGTTTGAAAACCGCCGCGGAGACATCCTACTGTATCGATGGTGCCCGGGATCAAAGTCGGGAACAATTTGGAAGTACTGTATAAGCTCGATTGTATCCCGCTCGATTATTATATTCTTCATAAATCGAAATCTGAATATATATCCTGTATGCGGTGTATGTACATATGTATTTTTATTGTTTCAACTGACCGAGACTTTTGTGTGGAGCGCCGGAGCTGATGAGCCCAATACGGATTCCGGCGTTATCAAAATGCGGCGACCTCCTGATGGCTTCGGACAGCAGGACAACATCACGCAAAATTTCCTGCGAGTTGCCGATAACGCGCTGTGCTGGGACACATCGGCATGCTAATTCCAGGAGTTGGAGCGTAAATTCATGCGATTTCCAAACGGCGCCAACTTGTGGAGTATTATTATTAGTAGATCTGCCGAGCGCGAAATCGATGGGACGGAGTGCGCTGGATGTTCTTGCATCTGAACATTGCTCCTGACCATTGACCCGAGGATCGTTCGCTTGTGAACCACGTGAACCCCGATGCATTGTAGGCGTCTCTCCTACAATAAATCCCGAGAGAAATGGCTCACATAAGAAACTTCTCGGCGATTGCATCGATCTTGAGCATATACAAAGTGAAGTTCTCAGTTGAAATCATTGTTCACGAATCTCGCCTCGGTAGAGTGAGAGAAATCAGCAATGTGGATAATTTCAGTTACTACACCGCGAGTGAAGTCGGCGAGCTATTCAACCATGTTTCGCGTTTCTTTGCGGCGAAAAGGAAATGCTTGGTCGTTTCAGAGAATCTTGAGACTGTCATCGTACAACGAGGGCTTATGCTGGAACGTTCGGACCAACTTGGATTGAGTCGCTGGCTCATTGAAGTCGAAGACATTGATTTGAACGAAGTACCGAGAAAGATGATCCCGAAGTTCTTCCTCTGTGCGTTGATACTCTTCAACGCAAATGCTGCGAATTTCCCCGCAGATTACGTGAATTGTGAGCTCCGAACCAAAGTCTACGAGCGGTTCGAGGGAGCAGTCGAGATTTTCCGGAGTTTCAACTTCGTAGTCATCTGCAGCCGAGACTGCGTAAAAAAAGACGCAGATGACTACTTGCGGAAATTGACCAACTTCTTGAATGTTTCTTCGTGGAGCATCGTGCCCAATCTTCCCACGAGCCAAGCCACCCTCAAATCACTCGAGGAGCGCAAGGCAATCATGTGCCTTCTGCATTTCGTCATAACTTCCGAGCGTTTCTCTTCTGTGCATATAAGTTATCCTCACAGTTTTGGCGGATACAAGTTTGTCGCTTGGCGGCATCACGTCGACGGGCTAGGGAGCAAGGGTCTGAGAGAAATTTTCGATTCATGGGTTTGGCTGTCATTATTTTTCCTTGCGGTTGGGCAAACGCTCATCTCCGCCATTGTGTTCCTGAGTGACTTCTCGGCCGCTCTTGTGTTCGTGTCGTCATGCTTTGTAGGCCAGCCAATTCCGCCAGCTAAAATTTCGAAAGGTTGGACTGTCAACATCACCTGTCTCCAGATCGGTACGTTCTTCTTGTGCTGGATGTTCAAGAATCAGCTAACATCATGCCTGAATGTTTCTGTTTGGCTGACTTTAGACCGCTTCGAGGATTTGCAGCTTTTGTTCCGGGACAAGATGATTAGCCAGGTCTGCATTCCTAGCATCGGATACTTGAATACCCTCATG